AGTCGGGTCGTCGACTGGTAAAATCCTATCGGCCGTCTGCCCTCCAACGGTTTCCTGTACAGAGCAACGATGAGCTGTCTGAGACCCTCTGGGCTGTTCCCAAGGATGTTCATACAAGTGAAGACCCCCGACAGCACCTGGAGCCCCTCATCCCCCAACAGAGAGAAATGCCTGGGATGAAACCCGTCAATCGCGATAGTCGCCGTTTTGAAGCTTCTCGACAAGCTCCGGAGCTCATCAACCGAGGGCCCAGGAGGGACCGAAACTTCAAGCTCACCGGTCAGATCGAGGGGAACTGACTTTCCCCCTCCCCAAGCTTCCTTCCAGGTCGCAATCTGGCTGGCAAAACGGCTGAAAAAGGACGCAGTAAGAGTGCCATCAGCCTCTTTGACGACATCTTCCTTGAAATCACTGGCGAGCTTAGTGTAGCTATGCGCTCTCGAGGCACCCCCTGCGAGGGCTTCCTCACACCACTGGCTCCAAAACTTTTTCTGCTGAGTTCTCTCGATGGCCAAGCAATGAGTCTCTAGCATCGTGAGCTGGTCAATCGCCCAACTCATGTTGCCAAAGTCCCATTCCCCAGCTTCCCAGCCTTGAATCTTCTTACGCAGGGGGCCCAACGAGAATTGGATGAAGGCCTGCGCCAGCGGTCTGCCCTGTGGCCAGAACCTGGCAAAAGGCCCTCCCTTCCGCTTGATGGCCCTGGTATGCTGGAGGACTTTCCAGGTGCCACGGGCAAATCTCTTGTCTGGGAATCCCGTTGCATTGCTCTTCGTTGCTTTGCACTGCATCGCCTTGCATGGCGATCGCACTGCAATCGCGTTGCATTGCATCGCATCGCATCGCAATCGAATCGAATTGATTTGCATTGCTCCGCATGAATGTGCATTGCTTCGCAGTGCATCGCATTGCTTTGCGTTGATTCGCATTGCTTTGCATTGCGTTGGAATTCTTTGCATTGCGATGCATTGCGTTGCATTGCGTTTCGTTGCATTGCTTTGAATTGCTTTGCGTTGCATTGTGTTGCGTTGCTTTGCACAACTTTGACTGCGCAAAATTGATTGCACCACCTAGGCAGCACCAAATTGATTGCACCACATAGGCTGCGCGTCAGGTGTTGCAAGAAATCACGATCTGGGGCTCACGCTGGCTGACATAAAGGACTCCTCCGTGGTCCACCCCCAAACGTGTCGGTAAGGCGGGCCCAGCGTGTCCCTTCTGAGAATTCCTCACCACTAATGACCCCGAAGCTTTGAATCTGCAACAGCTTCAAGAATTGAGGGCGGCCCATTTTCGATATGTGGCTCTCGCCTGGGCGCTGCGCACATTCGCTCTAGAAGCTTGTAACAGGATTAAGGATGATGGGTGGCCTGTTTTCAAAATGTGTCTCTCGCCCTAGCGCCGCGCACATTCTTCTTCAGAGCTGCAACAGTTTCAAAAATGGAGGTCGGCTCCTTTACAAAATGCAGCTGTCGCGTCAGCGCGGCGCAGATTCGTCCTAAAAGCCTTCGACCTTCCCAAAGGTGGAGGGCGGCTCCCATTCAAATGTGGCTCTCGCCACTACACCGCGCACGTTCGATTTAACAGCTTGCACCAGTTTGAAGGATTAGCCTGGTTCACATCCAAGAACGAAGTTTATGCGCGGTCTGTGGTTGCCAGGACGCAGCAGTCACGTTGATTCGCGATGTTGGCTTCCCAGGAATAAAAGTGTTGGCACGATCTATGATCGTCATGACGCAACGGTCTCACTAATTCGCGGCGCTGGGAGTCCCAATAATAGTGTTGGCAGGATTGAGGGAAGATTCCCAAACGGCTGCCTTCTATTGGGGCATGCCCCGCAATGGAATTAAATCGCTGTATGGACTTATGAAGGGACAACTTTGGGGAAGGGTCGAGTGCAATATCATTGATGCGTTTGGGTTTGCGTACACTGGTCCTCCTCCTCCTCCTCCTCCTCCTCCTTCTCCTCACTCCTCCTGCTCCTCGTCCTCCTCGCTCCGCACTCCGCACTCCTCTTCCTCCTGCTCCCTGCTCCTCGTCCACCGCGTTCTCCGCATGCGCTCTTGGCCCTTGTCACAAAGCTATAGGCCAAGGAAGTGCGTGCCAAGTCGGACACTGCGGGATACCTGGCCAGCTCGAGCGAGCTAGCATCTAGCCTGAACGAGCGCGGATACTTGTCCGAAGATGGTGGATCGGCACGTGCCACGCGCGTAAGCACAGATGCCAATGGCGGTTCGGCCTGGCGTGCTTCAGGGCAGCACAAGCAGTTTCCGAAATCTGAGCGCGATACAGGCAAGTTGCAGAAGCTACGCGAAGCAGGAGCCCAAGTCAGCACCGTAACGAGGGCGTCTCCGACGGCTACGGCACTTGGTGGCTTGGCTGTGGCGGGCATCGCTGATCGAAAGCCGCACGATGGAAGGATCGCGGCCTCCTAGGCCGACGGGCCAGTGCCTAAGGGTGCCGCACCAGGGCGTCGCCAGAAGACCACCTCCGTGCGGGGCGGATCGTGCTCCGCGTGCCGTTCGCTCGGCCGACGTCGTGCAGCACCGGGTCACGGCGCCCGCCTCCGTGTTGCCTGGGCACGCCCCCAAAAAGCAGTCTAGAAGCAGGACCGCGGGCTCCTCCTGGAGGAAACGCCTTGGGCCCAGTGTGTGTACCCCGCGCGAGCGATCTTCCTGACACTCGCAAGGATCAGAGTCTCGATGACGTCGGCGTTGTCGGTTGACAGGTCTGGGCAAGTGCATTCACCCGTTGGGCGCAGTGCAAGCTTACTACGCGAACTTGTGCGAGATACAGCGTCTGCTGCTTCAGATGTCATGCGTCCCAATTGGGTGACAGAGGCCTGGGCCAGTCAGTTGCACTGGAGTCATCTTGCGTGGTTGCACAGCAAAGCAACTAGCGAGACCTGGAGCCAGCACCACAGACCCATCCATCAAAGCCTCGTCGGCGACACGTTTTGGACTCACATCATTTTGAATACGCATGAAACAAGTCTAGGCGACAGGTGCAAGATATGCGGGAAGAGAGGCCCCTTTATATCACAGGTTTTATCAATGCCTTGCCCAGGGCAAACTCGCAGAGAGGAGTGCCCACCGTTTCTTCACGAGGCGGCTCGAACGGTGCGCGCCGGGAGCGAGACTCATGGCGAACAGGCTTGTAGGTGTCCTTGTCAATCCCCTCGATGGTGCGCTCCCCAGGTTGAGCCTGATGCGAATGTCTGATGGGAAAGATTCCCAACCAAGTGACAGGTCTCGAGTCCCGTGTTGCACAAAGCTTGGCGTGCCGCCCCACCATGTCAGTAATCAGTCGTGCTGACGCTATGGTTGTTCAAGTTGGCTTGGCAGACGCAATGACAGGAGCTCGCTATGGAACGCGCCCTTGCACGTGGCTCCTCTGCAACGCGCTCAGTTCTCGCCACCCACTGTGAGTGGGATCAATACAGCCCCCTGCATATCTACTCAGGCTGTCCCGCTTCAGCCTCGTGCGCTCGGGATCCTTGGGGAGACCTCTCTCTGATGCAAGCCAGGCAGTATTTCTGGCAGGACTGGCGGGGGAGGGTGGTTTCGGGCATCGTGCTGCTGCCATCAAGATGAAGAGTCACCAATCCGAGACCAACTCTAGCTCAGATCATGAGACATGGTCGAGCCGAGCCAACGCGGCAACAAACAGATACGCCAAGCTAAGAGCCAAACTGTGGAAGACGCCATCAAAGTACGTTATGTTCATCCAGGGCATCCAGTCTGTCTGTTGCGGCCGCCAGGTGGCATGCGAGGGCCCAACAGGTGTTTTCGGACTCGAGGTTTTTGGACTCGTAGCATGTTGCTGGGACCTCAGCTGTCACTCTCGAGTTGGACGCAGCGGACTGGGACGGCCTCCGCGAGGTGTGTTTGGAGGCTGGGGTGATGCCTTTTTTTTGAAGGAGTGGAGCGGGTCAGGCTGCTCGGTGCTGCTGCTGCCCTCCGCTGCCACCACCTCTTCCTCAGCCCCTGCCCACGGAAGGTCTGGCCCAGTGCTCTGCCCCCCCCCTGGACTTTTACGGGCACAGTGCGGTCTGGGCCGGACTCCTGAGCGTCGAAGGGGGTGCGGAGATCCAGCCTCGCGACGCAGCTTTGCTTTTCAAATCCTGTGGGACTTCGATGTGTCGGCAGGCGCGTCGAGGGGAAGGCCTGGAGGCCCCTGTCAAGCATCCTCAGCCCCGGGTTCGCGGACCCGGCGGTCCAGGTTTCGGAGGGTTTGTTTCCCGATAGGGTGCACGCTCGGATCGGCGACGCGTCAGGCCCGAGCGCAGCGAAGATAGCGACCTGGATGTCGCGAATGCCTTCCCTCGGCTTCGGGCAGCCAGAGGCCGCCGTCTTCAGCGGCCAGGACGTGTTGCCAAGCGCTGCCGAAGCGTCGCAAATGTTGTGCGGCCTTGCTGCCTCTCGGATGTTTGATTTCAAGGTTGCGAGATTGCACGGGTTTGACTCCCCAACTGCCACGGCTGAGTTTACTGAGTGGCCTCAGAGTGTCAATTCCAGAATTTCCTTGAAGAGCTGCTTCAAGAGGAGGGATGAGATCGGCACTGCGCCTTCGGACGGGGGGGCACCTACCCCATATGATCTGTTTCAGTCTCAGCCTCCTTCTCCTCATGGTGAGTTTCTTCTTGCTCCACCCCCGCTCCTCCTCCTCCTCCTGTTCCAGTCGTAGTCCAGTAACCCCCGACAGGCCCGAGAGCTCGATCGATCGATCGGTCGATGCTCCTCCTCCTCTTCCGCCTCCTCCTCTTCCTCCTCCTCGTCGTCCTCGTCCTCCAACTCCTCATCACTCCTCCTCAACCTCCTCCTCCTCCTCCTCCTCCTCCTCCTCCTCCTCCTCCTCCTCCTCCTCCTCCTCCTCGTCACTCCTCCTTCTCCTCAATTCCCCCTCTCGCCCTCATCAACACGACTCCTCCATCTCTTCCTTCTCCTCCTCCTCCGCCTCCTCCTCTCTTCGCGCGCCTCGCCCCCCACGCCGCTCGGGACCCGCATGGTGGACAGCACGTTGCTGTAGCAAGAGCCCCCCTCGGTCGGCTGCTGGCACACCTGTCGCACGCAGTGGCCGACTCTCCCGCCCCGTTCGCATCCCTCACTTCTCGCCCAAGGCCACTCGCCCAAGGCTCATTGCCCCCCTCCACTCCTTCCTAGCCATTCCTCCTCCTCCTCCTCCTCCTCCTCCTCAACCTCCTCCGCATCCTCCTCCATCTCGTCCTCCTTTTCCTCCTCATCGTCCTATTCCTCCTCCTTCTCTCCTCCTCCTCCTTCGCCTCCAATTCATCGTCCCTTTCCTCGCCCTCGTAGTCTTCATCGCCCTCCTCCTCCTCCTCCTCCTCCTCCTCCTCCCGCTCCCCCCATCAAGGGGGGGGAGAGAGAGAGACAGGAAGAGAGCGAGAGTGAGAGATAGACACATGGCGAGAGAGAGGGGGGGGAAAAAGAAGAGAAAGAGAGAGAGAGAGAGAGATCATGAGGGCCAGCGAGCAGAGGAGCAAACCATACGACGCATGATAAGCTCCAATCGCGCAACATGATCGCAACGCGCCTGTAGTCAGACCAGGCTGGCCGCAAAAACGGTCGGCAAGGAAGGCCTGGTCACCGACCGCCGTAGGGAACCCCGCGGCCGGAAGAGGGACAGTGGCAACACACTGGCATACCACGGCGAAGGAAACGCGAGCACGAACGCAAGGCACTGACACCGCCCTCCCCCGCAGCCAGCCCAGCCTGGAGGCTTGAAAGCCCAACGGAAACGAAAAAGTGGCAAAGATCAACATATTGATTTTCCGTTGGTTTTTGAACATTTGGGCCTCTCGGGGGCGGTCCCTAGGTTTTTAGAATTGGGTAATATTTTGGCCCTCTTGGAGGCAGAATGGGGGACCTTCTTCAGCCGTCTTGAGCGCTGTGGAGCCATCTTGGAAGCCATCTCGGAACACCTCCTCGTCCACCTGATCTTCCTCCTTCCCTCCCGTCTGTGCAAGAGCCGTGTAACGCGTGCCGCTTGCCTTTGCCAGTAAGAACGGCAAAAGGCCAGTCAAGATGTTGGGACGCTGAATCGACGACGGGTCAACCAGAACAACCGTCTGCATCCATCTAACAGCCTCGACTGGTCTCACCATCTATCGGGTTCACTATACATCTAACCGTCCCACAACCAAGCGATGCGTCAATTGATTGATCCACATATCGTTGCCATGATCGCTCTCACTATCTATGTTTCGACAGACACACGTTCGTAGAAAGATATCACTGTCTACCGGCCCCCTAACCCCATTACTGGTCTCGCAATCGAACTCACGATCTATGCGCCGACCCCGCTATCTATGTGTCAATCGCATGACCTGTCAATCGGGACCGCCATCGGGAATTCATGCGTGCTTTAAAAGAACATGCATGTCAGCCACAATCTCAAAGCGCCGAAAGCGCCGAAGTGACTCGTTTGACGACACACATCGGGACAAGCGTTGCGATAAGCATCGGGGCAAGCACCGGGACAATCATCAGGACAACCATAGGGGCAATCATCGGGACAACCCTCGGGGCGACGAGCACAATTTGAACACCCGAGCCCGTCGAGATGTCGGGACAAACATCGGGGCAATAAACGAAGCTACCACCAAAGCAGCCGTAAGGGCAAGCAAACATCGGGACAACCACCGGGACATCAGAGGAACAACCATCGGGACTCGGGACAAGCATCGGAGCAACCATCTGGTTAACCATGGGGACAACCGTCGCAGAGACAATCGGGCCAAGCATCGGTCGTGGCAACCATCGGGACAACCCTCGGGGCAAACATCGGGACAACCACGAAACAACCATTTCGACAACTACGGAGGCAACCGCTGGACAACCCTCGGGACAACCACGGGGCAATCCTGCCCCCCGAAAGGACAGACGGACGGGGGAAGGAATTTTCTGACATCGAGGTGGCGGCGGGATCACTCCTCTCGCCCGCGCGCGCAGCGTCGCCTCGCCCGCGCGCGCGACGCCTGCGCGAAACCCAAACAGAAACCGATTTCCTGGCGCGCTGTCCCCGTTGCACTTCGGTCTCGGCCCCCCCAATCGAATGCGCATGTCATTCCGACGACGCATGTTCACCAGCGTGCAGGATCACGAGGTAGACCTGCACGCTGCCCGCCATTGCCGAATGCCCCCTGGCCGGAGGAGGATCGGCGATCGGATGTGGAGGCCGACCCAGCGCCGACGCCGGCGCACACGTTGCTCCCCAGGCGGGCTCGGGACGGAGATTGATGGAGGGGCCAGGCCCTGGGACACACACAAATAAATACGTACAAGTAACAGGATTACCCATATTTTCTATATTTTCCTGGGGATCGACGATCAATTGTGTCTGTGTGTTTCTTCCCCTCCGGAATTGATCACAAACGGCGCCGGGCGCGCGGGCGGCCGGCCCGCGAGGCCGGCCAATCCACCGCGGCGCCACATCAGTTGACCAGAGCGATTCGTGGTCGAACCGCTGGACGCTCGAGACGGGAAGAAGGGGGGGCACTTCAAGACGCAGGCCTTGGAGCGCGCGATTGCGATGGGCATTCAATGAAGTCCGAGAGATAGAATTCGAAAAGGCCTCGGGGGAGTAGGGCTCGATCGGGCATGTCCCCCTACGGGCGGATTCTGGACGGAAGCTTAACTGTGAGCAAAAAAAGCAAACAAGTAAACAAAAAACAGAAAAAGCGTCCCCATGCCCTAACTAGAAAATAAGTTTGAATACTCCTCCTGTGGAGGGACAGGCCCGCCTTACGTGCAGGGCCGCGCGCCGGCGGTCGGAATCCCACGGGTGAAACGTGCGACGCCTGCGCGGGCCCAACCTGGGAGGGAACGGGCGCCTCGGCCGCGCGACCTGTTTGAAGGGGCCCCAGGACATACAAATAAATACACACAAATAAATGTATTCCCCATATTTTCCCATATTTTCTGGGTTTCTGTCTTCCCCCCCACTTCCCATATTTTCCTATATTTTCTGGGGGGTCGACGATTAATTGTGTCTGTGTGTCTTTTCCCCTCCTGATTCTTGCAGCGGAGGGGGCCATGATGGACAGCGCTGGAATGAACTATTGATGCTCGTCTTTAGAAGCCTCCTGAATGGGGTCGGAGTAGATGTGGTCGGAGGATCGCGCAGCATCGGCGATACATCGGCGATGCATCCCCGACGTCGGCGACCCGTCGGCGACGTCCGCGCGAAGGAAATCGGGCTCCGCATCGAGCCGCGTCGGCGATGCATCGGCGATGCGGAGCGATCCTTCGACCCCACCTACTCCGACCCCACCTAGGAGACCTCGAGTCTTCTCCCCGGCGCGCCACGCGCGCAGAAAACATGCAACGGGGCGAACGACCAAGGGGGGGCTTCGAGGCTCTCGCGGCAGAAGGCTGCTTCCACGGCCAGGGGGGCGCCCTCGGTTCGCCGCGCCCGCGGGGCAGCCAAAGAAAAACACCAGTTCGAGCGGGCTGAAACGGACGCGCGCAGGCCCGCCCCCGTGCGACGCTCGCGCGCCAACCCTGGGGCCCAAGTCTGGGAAACCCGGGGGGGGGGGGGGGGGGGCGGTGAGAGGAGACCTGCTCGGGCGGGGCGCGCGAGCGACGCGGGCCGAAAGGGCGCGCCGACCCGCGAGCAGCTGGCCGCGCGCACGCATTCCACGAGCCAATCCAATGCAACCGCTGCAAGGCGGTCACGGGCGCCCTGCGCAGCTGAGCGCGCCCAGAAACGCGGGCTGCCCGCCGAGCTCCAACGCTCGGTCGGGCGCGAAGAAGGGTCACTGCGAAGGCTGCCGACCCGGCCGAGGGCGCGCCATTGCGCGAACCGAAGGGGCCGCCGAAGCTGCCCAGCCGCCCGCTTCCCACGCGCGCGGCGGAGGAGCGAGGGGGCTGGCGCCCAGCGCTCCTGCGTTCTCATGTCCCGACGCCGCGCAGGAGCTGGCGGAAAGTCGGGGGGGCCTGGCGCGCCCGTCTCCAACGGTCGCGCAGGCCCCCCATGCGTCGCCCAACCGGCGGCGAAGCCAGTGGCGAGACGGGCCACGTGCACGCAGGGGCGCGGCGGCGAGCCCACCAGGGCCCCCTCGTCGCAGGCGCGCGTCTCCGAAGGCTAGAGATCGTCGGGCGAGCGGGGGGCGATCGACTGGGGCGAGCGGCCAGGCGAAGGTGGAGCTCGAAGCGCGCTGCCGCTGCCGCCGCCGCGGCGGCGGGCCCCCCGAGGCCAGCGTCCAATCGATCGTCGGGCAGCCCGCGGGCCAAGGCAGCCGTTGCCGCGGCGTCGCAGGCGAGCTCTGCCCTTGGCCATCGGCGGCCTGGGCCGCGCGCGGCGGCGCGCGAAGCGCGCGCGGCGCGCACTGCGTCGCCTCCGCGACGTCGAAGGACAAGTCGCCGAGGTCGGTCGCGACCGCCGGGCCCACCTCAGAAACCGTCCAAGTCGGGATCTGAAGTGGGATCGCCCGCCCGCCCCTCGAAGCTCGCGGCCCCTCGCGCGGCGATCCTGACAATCGCACCAGACGCAAGCTGAACCTTCTCGAAGACCCCCGCGGGCGCCCCAGGGACTGGATTCCGCGCGTCAAACTCTCCTCCGCGAGAGCGGCGGCGCGGAGGCGCGGGCCATGTTAGGCATCTCAAGAGAAACGGCGGTGCTCATTTTACAAGGCGAGGCCCTCGACGAGATCTTGCCGGGCCCCCTCTGCGCGGGCCCGCGACCCCGAGGCGATGCCCCCGCGCGAATCAGGGCCGCGTCGATGGGCGGCCCGAGGTCGCGACTGTCCTGACTGCAGAAGACGACGGGGGCCTGGGGCCAGCGGGGTCCGCAACGAACGGCAAGTCTGAAGACGGTCGACCGCCCCTCCAAATGCGCCCCCGACCTTGTCGCGAGCACCCGGGTCGTGGCACGCGGGGCAATTCTCGCCGTCTCCCCCCCAGGACAGCACCCGCGCACCAGGGTCTCCTGAAACGGCGCCCCCCCCCTCCCGCGACGCGCGTTGCCCGGCGCGATCAGCGGGCCCGCGCGCTGGAGGGCCAGCCCGACCATGCAAGAGTCGACCTGGTGAGCCGCGCCC